CTCTGAAACGAAAGAGAAGGAAACCTCTGAGCCAGAGTCCAAGAATGTCAATGGTGATTCAACACCAACAGATTAAAAACATTACTCTATATGTCAAATCACGCGACTGCATACAATCTGATAGATTAGAAGAAATATTCGGAACTCGATTATTTGGAATGTTTGCGTGACCTAATGTAACGCTAAATATTGCTGTTTTAGTGCTTTTTACTTCTTGTTTTGCTCAAATCGAGATTTATAATTGATAATGAAGTTTATGGATTTTAAAATATTCCAATTTGATTTTTTCAATAAAGTATTGCGACTTGGAATAGCCGTTGTGGACACTGTATGTAAAAGGCATGTGTGATAATACCATTTAAGGGGACAAATTGTTGTGGCGAAAGCTGAGAAAAGGGGTTTGAACTATTCGTTACAGCTTTATTCTACACTTAGCCGTTCTTTGAGTTTACTGCGCAAGAATTTGCAACCATATTCGCATGTGAACTATATTGCAACACCAATGCTTTTCATTATTTATAAATAATCTATTGCTCACGAAAAAAATCTGTTTTTACATCATACAAGCGAGTAATCGGTAATTCACAAAAAAATCGGTTATCCTCTAAATCCGTGTTGATTTATCACGTTGTCAGTTTTACCATCAATTCTAAATTTTCAAATTTCAATTTTCTCGAAAAAATAATAGCAATAAAGCATTGGATGCTAGACTGAATGACGCAACCTTCTTCGGCTCCTCTAATTCAACTTTAAAGTCAATAATTCGTCTGCCGGTCAAATTATCTTCCATTATCGTCTTTTGGCATCTCAACTATAGACGTTTATAATGATCCCATACCAATAGCAGGTAACATTATCTGACCTCAGTATTTACAAGTCATTGGTGATGATGTGATATATAAACACAGACGTGCGAATCGGGTCACCTGTTGAATGGAACACCCAGCCAGAAGTTACTTAGTTGTAGATAGATGCATTCACAAACATGAACATAGAAAAAATGAGGGCTTCGCATTCTAACGAGATTACGTTCAAAAGTTCGAATAAAAATACAAAAATTCAAAACAGATGCTTATCTCTCTTTGTGGGTTTTGTGAAATTACAAGTTTGCTCCAATTTTGTCACCAAGATGCCGCGATTGAAAAATTCAATTGCAAAAAGCGTGAAAAGCGATTAAAGTAACCATAAATATTTTGTATTCACATTTGTGTTTTCTCCTACTCCCTAATTAAATATTAAAATAATTATTCGATTTGCAAAAATAACATTAACATTTTCATAACGTATGTCAAACGATGACAGTTTGGTTTACTGTATATTTTATGGAGTGAATTCCATGTTGAACACCTCGTATAGATTAAGTTACAATTTGTAGTTACATCATGATACAAAAATATTGATATTTTCACCAAAACAAAATTTGCCATGCGCTTATGTTTAACTGTGCATTAACTCGCATCGGCCTATTATGGTTCATATATGACTCTCTCATGATAAATCTACGTTACGCGTTGCGAGTGCAAGGATCAAAACCGCCCGACGACGTGACGTAATTTTAAAAACAATGGCATGGAGTCGATAATGATCGTATTTAGCCGCGGTCGATAATAGAGTCGATTGTGGTCCGATTTCCAAAACTACTTTAGATATACCCGATATTTTTGTCGGACGAAACATGAGAGTTCCGAAAATAAACAGGCGCCAAACTATCGTAAAATTGGATCCCATCAATCAGCTGCATGTTTAGGAATGATGGATTTGTGCCAAAAAACTTCTGATCAGCCGAGTCGAAATTGTTCCGGTTTTAAACAAAAATAGATTAAAAAAATCGTGTTACCACCTTTGTTACTAAGAATGCATTGAATCGTTTTTTTTAAATACTATTTGGAATATGGTGAAAACTAAAAACTGTACTAATTACAATAAAATGGACAAATTTCAGACACCAAAGCATGCTTTTAGGATGTATGTCGAGATATTTTGTTATACTTTTATTTTTTTTAAAAAAATCCAAAGTCTGGAATAAAATAAAAAATATTCTAATCTGGTAAAATACTGATTGCCTTATGCAAACTTTATGTGGCAAATTTGGACCACCGAGAGACCACCAAGACCTATTGAACCTTCTCACTGCAGGTATGATAACTTGGTGAAAAGTGTGGACATTTGTCATATAGAAATTATAACCATAAAAAACGACATTTTGAATCAAATGTTCGAATGCTGATCTTATATTCGAACTAGGCCCAAGCTTAAGCGAACCCCGATTCGAAACAAAGATTCCCGCCGACTCTAAGGATCTTTTACAATCGTTACCTCTTTTTTCTTGCTGTTTATATATCGAAACAAATGTGGCGCTCTCGAGTTGGCGTGGCCACAAAAGCATAGTGGTTCAAATGCACGTCACGTGACATAACAAAAAAATTTAGTTTTTGGCATTTCCAAATAAGAGCCATGAAAGTTTATGAGTCTTAGTGTTTATGACGATGCCGAATTAGCGATACAATACACTGTGTATGTCCCAGATATTTTAATATAGATTATACATGACATTTTACAATTTAATAATATCATTTGATAATCAAAAATCGAAAAGCTAATTTGATGAAATTAATGCTGACATTTCATGGAAGCAATTATAGGGAGAACATATATTCATATGGACAAACATCGCATTGTTATAAAATGATTAATTTTAATTTTTTTCCTGAATTACTTGGACTTCTTGCTAACCTGCACAAAATGCCTTGCTAAGTGTAACTTGCTATCAGATTATATGCGTGAATATTTATGTCGACATTTTGTGAGATTCTGGGTTTGATCTTTGATAAGTCAACTTTGCGAGCAAGTCCACCGTTTCATTTTAGTTCTAAAATCATCGAGGTTAATGTCATTTCACGGGTGAAATAGTTTCTGTCTCTTTTCGCGGTCATTTGATTCGTACAATGGCAATGGCACTTCAAGACCTATAGCAGTCTCTGGAAGCCCGACTTCACTGAAAGCTTTAATACGTTCAATGGACGTCGTCTGCGGACTCAATTTTTGTGATATTAAAACCAATAATCTTTGCTTTCTCAGAATCTGCTTCAACCCAGTTTGTTCCCATATCATCATTCATCAATGGCCATATACTCACCACCAGTGTAATTCAATAATTTGCTAACAGGAAACGGCCGTTTTTGGCGATCTATTGGATTGAATATCTTTTTGGTGAATTTTTGAAAGATTTTATGTTTTAAAATTCTAAATTCCTGTAGAGCCGTTTCCTAATTTGAACTGCAAACAAGGTCTAAATTAGACAATGCATTCTTCCGATATGCAGCAAATATGTATTAATTCCATTCATTGTTCACACACGTTCGCAAACATTTGGGAATGTTTACTGAATATCTTCAATGCATTTCAGTTTGTTCAAATATATTAACGTCAATCAAAAGTAGTAGAATTCAGAAACGCTCTTGGTCATTTCGGTTGTTTTAACCTACCTATACGCAACAATACATACGTAATTCGTAACTCCCTATGGTCGGATTTGATGTAAAACGAAAAAAAAATTATCGCAGAAAAGCTTTTATACTCTTTTCTTTTATTCAATAACGTTATCGTACGCTAACAACATTTTGAGTCCAACTTTCGTACCCACTGCTATGAAAAAGGTAACGCTATACAGTGGCGTATCTATACGTAAAATCTCGCCAATAGCAAAGTTTGAAAATGCGCCCTTGAACGTTGATTGACATTTTTTAACGACTGTTGTTGAATTGTGACACTTGCACGTTATTATTTGAGTAAAAATACAAGTTTCAATTGTTTCCAATTAAACTTATTTTGTTAAAACATTTCACTAACAAAACCTTTTGCTCCCCTATCCGAACGGCAGTAATGACAGGAGCCATGGCCGCCATACCCTAGATACGTTAACCCTAACCCACTGACGTCCCCATGCAGGCACCTCTATGCATAATTTTACCAAATACTAAATTTATCATCTCTACGCTCTAGTGTAATTTTTGTTTTATTGTGGGCAATGCTTGGGAATTATATTTGATTATAGGTCATATCTTCAATAGTATAATTTGACTGCAAATCATAAACGCAAAGGGCAAGAGCATAGTTAAAGTTGTAATATGATATATTAATCCCGTACTTAAGTTAAATTCGAATCAAATTGCGCATACGACTGACATTACAATGGCTACAAAAATCATATCAAAGTATAAAAATGTTTGTGGGAGCAACAAAAATTCTTGCGGTAACATTTATCTTGAACTTCAAGCTATATCAGCTTCTGAAAGTCTGAGAATTTTTTTTATCGTCATATCCTAATATGTATTGTAGAACAAATATATTTCATATCTGATAAACATATAATATATTTATGGAATTCTCATTCCACTAACATATAATATATTTATGGAATTCTCATTCCACTAACATATACGCTCGTTATTCAAATATGTGCTCGTTATTAAATATGAGTATGTGTTTCCAGTTATGGCCTACATAAAATCTGTGTTTACATTTCTAATTCATCTATTGCACATATCCGATTGAGAAAAACAGTTTCGTATCGTCAAACTATCGAGAGAAGCAATATTTTGATTCAAAAAGGTTCATTCTTACACCACATTAAAATTCATTCGGGAATACACAACCTCCCGCTGAGCAACACTTTCAACGCGATGGTTGTCGCGAGCAGCGTCGTTAAAGTGGTTTACATTTCAATTTAGGAGAGTGTGGATGTTGGAAGCCGCTTATTAAACCTACTTTGTAGAAAGTGCTTTAAAAAGAATGAGACTTTTTACATCTGCAAGGGCGTTAGGTTCATAAGGATGATAACCACGGTCATTGAGTCTGCACGGAACAGTATAAGTAATTGAAAACAATTTAGCTTGATGTGTGTACGTCACAGGGTATTCAAAATAAATTATGTCTATAATGTATTCGGCGTGAAACTGAGGGTTAAAATTTACTTGGCACATTTTCTGTATGTAGAAATATACGAGATTGTAGATTTTCGATATTACAGAATGGTTAAATAGGAGATATTTGTTTGTCACGTTGCAATGAATGAAACTGTTAGGTGATATAATTGGAATCAAGACACCTTATCAACTTTGATAAATTCTTATTGGATATAATGAAGGATATGTTGTCTTTTCGTCGTATTGGAGATATTTACACATTGGTGGTTTTCTGTCTTTTTCAATACCAGGTTAGTGTGCTTCTACTTTGTTGTAACGTTGTGTAATTCTGGAAATTCATATAGTTGTAAACAGAAAAATATATAATTTGTGATTGATGGCTGTAGTTTCGTCGATGAAATAGACAAGACGGCTCAGTCATTACACGAATTCCGTCCATCCGTAATACACCGCTACGACTCCGTGTTAGGTATATGGAAATATCTACACCACTCATTACCATTTTCTACATGGAAGGATCAGCGGTTTTACTAACCATTCGGGCACGAACTGAAAATTGTTAGGCGAGTGTAAAACCTCAGTTAAAAGTTCAGCCGATTGTACATGTCGTTTATGTCGAAAGTTTTGAAAATGGCGTAAAATTTATAATCTATTCATATTTTGAATCTAAAAAGGTCCTTTGTAAACAATACATCGCAAAAGTAATGGTAGTATTTTAATTTTCGGCCAATTGTGTTGTTTCTCATGATTATACCTAAATTGACAATACTATCTTGATACAAAAAAATTGAGCCGTCAAGTACGTCCAGATTTTAAATTTCGACATTACGTTATCTATAGTGTGTCTGGGAACATATAGCTAAGAATATCGAAACCCTCATTTTACCATGAAATATTGATGAGATTGAAAAATGCGACGAATGCGGAAATATCTGGCCGTAAGAACCAAAATTCCTTTTAAATATTTTGTTTACAGTCAATCTTGCTTTAAAGCTTACAATATTATTTCATACATAGACAATAATGGAATTTCTATTTAACGATTCGTTGATATGGATTGCTTTCAAGCACGTTCCACGCCAATTATGAACTACAATAGACATTTAAATAAACACAAAAGACGAGATTTTACGAATTATTTTGCCAGTATTTTGTTGCTATATCCAGACTGTGACTCATAACCGACTAGCCGTATTGGTTTTAATATAAATCTCATTAATATATTTGCTTTAGTAATATAGAAATTCCAATATTGCAAATTGCACATACCACAATTCCTATTCAGCAGAAAATATATTCCCTCCCTTTGCTGTTAAAAATATGGTGAAGTCTTTTCAATCCATAATTTATCGGTATGTAAATTACCATTATTCTGAAGCTGTATTTTATGACGTCTTTCGCATTTTTGTCCCGAAATAGGCTCGGCCGTTTTAGACGTTAGGGAAACAACACTTTGGGAAGAGAATCCATTTAGGTGAACCCCGGTATTAGTAATGCGCCACACTCGCACTCTATATTCATAGAGATTGTTTTGGTCCAGTCCAAAACTGACTTCTCACGCTTGTAGAAGCGGAGCTAAAATGCCTTTAAAATGAATAAAAGATTAAGATTGGGATTGTGCTGTGTGTACAATCTGTGTACGACAAACGTAATTGGATAAATTAACCAAAATGACCAACCTAATTTTGATTCAATCCATCCCACAGCATAAGTGTAATTCGACGAAGACTGAGACATACCTCAATGCTTGTGATGTTATAAATAACGCGTTTTTTATTTCTACCTTCGTTTATTTTGCTTTTGCTCTACCATATGAATATCAGGCACGACAGAGATATAGATGAGGCCTTACTTTCCCGCGGGGTTTGCGGTACATTTCGTTGACAAGATCCTGCTGATGCGGTAACTGCAGTTGCTAATATGCCGGCTTATTAAATTTAAATTAAATTGCCACAATTCACATTCAACTTGCATGAAAGTGTTGAAATGAAGTGTTTACTTTTATTGCTCTAATCGGGGTACAGTAAAACGGCGATGATTTACGCAAATAAGGAAACATTAATATTTTTTTACTAATTTTTTTTTCAATTTTCGCTAACAAATGCAATTCTATATTTTTGCCATATTTTGAAAATTAATTTTATCAGTGATTGTATAAAAGCATGCCATCCTACCTAATCTTCAATTTATTTTATTAGGCATTTGGACGAGTCAACAACAAGAAACTTCATTACACACCAGAACACCACGCTTTACATATCGTGATACGCAAGACGCAGTCTCATTTAAAAGGTATTGAATGATTTCAAATTAGTTCTCGCATGGTTTATTAACTCTTCGAATAGCATTCACAGTTCCGATGAATACAATGTTTTAGGAATGGCGGTTAAATAATGTTTTCTGTAATTATTCACAATCTGCTATATGCTTAGACACAGTTTAACTGGAAGATTGATTGAACGAACCAGCCAAAAATGGTGCAATTTTGGCGAAAGCATGTATATGACTTTGTTAGCTATAACGTGGATTTGATTCGATAGGAGTGTAATTTCTATGACATTGATTTCAAATCCGATGTGACAAAAATATTTCAACTTGATTTACATTAATACAGTTCGAGATTTTGATAGGTATACTCTATATACACCTATAACCGGCGGTTTATTTTGAATACTGTGACATAACACGCGACAAGTCTTGTCAAATAGTATGTCAAAAGCTGTACTATCAGGGAAACATGTGTAAATTCCGCGTATACATTGCCTCCAACCGTCTGGAATCTTCTGAAAGAAATATAAATTGCATGTTTATGAATCGGGTTTTGTGCTTTAAACTTTTGGCCTCGACTGTTTAGCGAGAAAACGAAATTTTCTACCTTTATATTGAGTACGCATGAGACAAACTCGGAAAAGTATCCCTTTCATTCAAACATTTAAATACGAAGTTGGGGTTAGTTATATACATGCACGCGTGCACCCTTCAGTTACACTTCGTAATTGATATATTCAATTTGTAAATTAACAGGTATATCTTCAAAACACTATCAATTATCCTGCTTGATATTATTAATTTGATAATTACACCTTGAATTTAACTTTCGTACCCAAAGGCCAAAGTATAGCGAACTTGTGTCGATTAAGTATTGTCGATATCCATTATACCACGCGAACATGCTATACAATTAAAACTTGTGGTTTATAATAATATTGAACATCAAACGGTATAAACTGATTACTGAAGGCGACATATATGATTATAGTGTTGCGATGAGACATAAAATTTCCAAGTATGGATACAACATGAATCGCGTTTAATAGCCTAGTCTTGTGACTTTATAAGTTTTTTGTTTCCAACTAGCAAAATACATCTTACAATCTTTGTCTTCATAATTGCTGACTGCTGGGGACACATAAGACTGCAATCTTCCTTTTCAGATTTCGAAATCGCAGTTCCAGAGGTTGTGGATGTTTTGGGAAACCATGTCACACATGATTTACTTCACCACAGACGATTACGAAGAAGCGTTCATTCCAACATAACTTCTGAGATTCCTGTATTTTATAAAATATCTGCACATAACAAAGATTTTCATATTGGAGTTGTTCCCAACAAAATATTTCTGGATCCTAAATTCTATGTGAAAAAAATCCAGAGGGATCAAAAAACTGGAAAATTAATTGAAAAAATCGAAACGAACACGGAATTAGACTGTCATTTTAGTGGACATATGGTGTCTCACGAAAATAGTGGTGTTGCAATTAGTTTATGCAACGGAATGGTAAGTACTATGCATGCATAAAATTTATCACGTCGAGGAATATGCACGTGGCAAAGAATTTTCAATAAAATAAAATTTACCTTTTACTTTCTAACATTTACTTTAGGCCTCATTAGCTTACTTTTTATGTTAGACATAATATATTTATGACAAAAATTTATGAAAATTATATCAAAAGTCACCATATAATATGTTTATAAAGGGTGAATAAATAATATAGGCATATATCTAATACATACCTTTATCAAAAATAGTATTCTTAATTTGCCCTCAAAACACTAAAAGTCATGTCGGATGAATAGTAAATGAACCGTGTTTGAAATTATTTTAATTACGTATTTTCTTTGTACTTTATAAGCACAATGAATTTAAAATAACTGACTAAAATATTATTGATCGTAAAAATCTTTATACATATTTAATTGATGAACTGAAAACAAGGTTGTGGTCGATTAATGCACGAAAAATAATAAAAATCATTCATCTGATGTTCAACTTTAGGAGAGCAAAAATCTGACAAAACGCGTACTGTATTGTTGGAAAATATTCTGAATAAAGCAACGAACCGAGGTTATATGTAAACTTAAATATATGTTAAATGATAACAAAAATGTTTAACTAATTTTTAATTCAATTCGAGATTAAACTTGTTGTGTTATATTGCAATCTATCGTAGTCGGGGCTACTCAGAACAGAAGAAGATGATTTTCTAATTGAACCAATTCCTCCTGAAATCCATCATAACTTTTCGCAACCTCAACATCCTCATATCATTTATAAAAGAAGACATTTAAAGAATAGTGATACTCATTATTGTGGGAATAAGAAATGGCGTAAGTGGGAATAATCCGTTACTATAGTTTCACTGTATCAAGGTCCAATGCTATCTATATATCGATATTCGTTTTTTAAAGTTGCAATTTTAACTGATTTGACTTCTTTCTAAAAGAAGACTTTTCCGGCCAATCTGTATTGAGACAATTGTGTATTATAAAATCAAATGATAAAACTTTGATCAAGGATACCTTGCGGAAGATTAATAATTGGAAGTCTGTTTGCATTGGCATATCTTAATTTTATGTAAAATCACATCTTGAACTATTTAAAAAAAATTATGTAGAGACTATTGCCACATATAAAATTTCATATTACATACATATTTACTATTTACATACACATTTTACTATTTTTGCCAATTGAGAATATTTTCGGATATAATATTAATTGCTGAAATATTCAACAGCTTACCCAAAACAAAATATTGCCACATATTTGACATGTATACGGTTTTTGTAGATCCGACACCGGTGCTAAATCAATACGATAATGATATTGGATATATGTCTGATGGTTCATTTTTCATTCGACCGGAGGAAAATTCTGTATTGTCCAAAGATGAAACGTCGAACGATGCATCTTTTAAAACTAAGGATGATAATAATATCCAAGATCGTTCGAAGCGTGATATCTCTGTGGTAACAAAACGCCGAAGAAAGATTGTTGAAACTTTAGTTGTTGCTGATCGTGAATTAATTGAAAAACATAAAAGTGATCACGTCGATGTCGCTACCTACATTTTGACCGTAATGAACTTGGTAAGTGTTTTTACAGTAATAGCCAGTTTTGCAGTAGATATTTGTGCAAGAAGGCTTTGTCTCTAGCATTTATCGATTCAGTTGTTAACAAACTCTTTGTTAAGCTAGTGCATAAAATAGGTAGTTGTATGCAACTGAATCACTACTCAGTTTCACGAGTGGGAATATATAAAATTTGAAAAAGCACTGTTGGGGAAAAGTCTATGACCTAAATTGGAAAAGTTCAATTGGTCCGTATAATGTATTCATATCATATATTGAACTATTATTTATGATCATAAAGAAATAAGTAATTCGAACGCTTTCCAATGCGAGCCCATTTTATGAACTAAGTCATCAATGAACTATATGTTCTGTGTGTTTTTATATCCTTATCATTTTAGGTGAGCGCATTATTCCGAGATGGGACACTTGATACGGATATTGAAATCGTCTTGATCGGCCTAACGTTGTTGGACGACGACAAGGTTTTCTTAAAATATTTTCTATTAGCAATATCACAATAATATAGAATTATACACTTCAACACTGTGCAGAATGATGTTTTAAACAAAAATAAGAAAGAATTTTTGAACTATTCGACAAAAACAGCGTATCAACGTTGAAATACGCAATACAAGAATTAAACGGTAACAACTAACAAGTTTCTTCAAAGATCACACTGATCAATCCTTGAACCTTTCGCTTTTTCAGGAAATTGAACTCGGTCACAAAGCTGGAAAATCCTTAGAAAATTTCTGTCGTTGGCAAACTAAAACAAACTCTACAATTGGAAGAACACCAGATCATTCGATTTTACTTACTGGAATAAATATCTGTGTCGATAAAGATGAACCTTGCGATACCTTAGGTTAGTGATCTTCACGTCATTTGTATTAATCGTCTGGTTAACACTTTGTTTGTGTATTAGGTCTCGCAGAGATTGGTGGAATGTGCAGTTCGAGTGGAAGTTGCACCATCAACGAAGACACTGGACTTGGATTAGCTTTCACAGTAGCTCACGAAACTGGACACAGGTATATACGGGAATTATTTGACATTGACTCACAGCCACACCCCCATTCATCGGAATCTCTTTGTAATTTCCCGACTTTGAAACTGTTATTGAAATTTATGTGAGGTAATATCAACCGCAATGTAAACAATAAACCTAGTCAAGCTGAGCGCAGAACGCAGAGTTAAAAGTCAATGAGACAATCTAGTAGGTGGTTTATCAAAACTATTCAAGAGCAATAAGTATTTCAAATAGTAATTCAATTAATCGGTTTGTTTGATCTCAGCACCCAGTCACAAATCTCGCATGCGACGGAGTCATTTGCTTCCTTTTTCTTTAGTAAGTTGTCTAAAACATTTCTTTCATCTGAAAATGAGTTTTAGTTTTGACACGACCTGGCTAAAGAATAATGTATTTATACAATATAAAATCATAAGAATTTCATCATGTGTGAATATTAAAAATTTAAGCCAGATATGGTGCATATATAACTGACAAAAGTCATTGAGAAATGAAATTCCTGAAAAGTGTCTATTGCTATATTTCCCATTCCCAATACTTTAGCTTGGGAATGAGACATGATGGACAGGGAAACACATGCAGTAAAAGTGGAGGTCAAATTATGTCTCCGATTATAAATACATTGAACGGAGTATTCACTTGGTCTTCATGTAGCAGAAAAGCAATGGAAGAGTTTCTCAAGTATATTGTTCTTATTCTAGATAATAATGTAAAAATATACTTGTATAGAAGAGTATAAAATAAAATGTGATAGGGTAGTCATTTGCATTCATGATCTTTTTCTTATTTTTTTGCATTTTTCTGTTATATCGCCAAATGATTGTTTGTACTAATAAGAAAAGTTTTAAAATTTGAAATAATCATATTTACGATATCAACAACAACATAACAACAAAACTATTCATAGATCTAGTTCGTGTTCAATAACAAACCGAATTAATTAATTGACAAATCTAAATTTGTTGCAGGACAAATCAGTCTCAATGTCTGAACAACGTTCCAGACAAAACGCCGGAGTTGCATTTTAGTTTACCGAGAGAACTTCCTGGACAATTGTATAGTGCTGATGATCAATGTAATCTACAGTTTGGCAAAAATAGAAAACTATGCGATTCCAGATATATAAGCGATAAGGTGTGCTCATACTTTTAATAATTTATCAAATCTACCGGTAGGCTATACTCTCAATGGAGGATTTGGGCAAGGAATGAATTAGACCCACTTGTTTTTGGAATGCCAAAACTCTTGAAAATTCCTCCCAACCTAATAATTCTTCTGACTAGTATCCTCGGAAGCTATAACTAAGTCTTGTGATGATGTTGACTTGTCAATGATGTTGCTGTACAAAACAAGAATGTATTCTACAACTACCTTCATTATTATTTAAATCTTCTTTAACTGAAGTTCTGTAAAATCTCAATTTTAATCTCTTGGCTAGACTTTCAACATCATCCCTGGAATATAAAACATACGCATAAATAAAAGTTACCCAATTCTGACGTGTTATTAATTATCACACAAATGCAATTCATCTCATACAATTTTTATTGAAATAATAACGTTTTATACACTTCGTTTATCCTTCTATATGTTGTTTGTCGATTTTATCTTATTATTCCTAGGATCACCTTTGCAAAGCTCTGTGGTGCCAAAGAAGTGATGGTTCTTGCGAAACAAAATACGTACCAGCCAGTGAAGGCACTGTTTGCGGAGAAAATTATGTAATATATTCTCTTGTGATATATATGATTATAAAATATAGCAAATGTACTATATTTTTATAAATTTTACAGTGGTGTCGAAGAGGAAAATGCGTTCCGTACGGATCGTCTGGTCCACTAGTTGTCAACGGCGGTTGGTCAGAATATGGCGAATGGTCGAAATGTAGCAGGTCATGTGGAATAGGTGTCGCAACCAAATATCGTCAGTGCAACAATCCATCTCCTATGTACGGAGGCCGCCATTGTGAAGGAGAAGATAGAATTTATAAATTATGTAACACCTGGGTAAGATAAATCAGTAGCTTTCTTTTATTGCGTTTGAACTTGATATTCTTTATTCAAAATCAGTTTTAGAAGATATCCATTACTTATTTCTTACCATTGTCTCTCTTGATTTGGCGTCTTAACATTTTACATTGCTTATCTCATTAAAAACTGTTTGAGTATATTTGTATGTTTTAAGAATTGCCCTCCTTCTGTCGCTGACTACAGATCTCAGCAGTGCGCCGAATTTAATTCAAAGCAGTACAGACATCAGTATTTCAATTGGATACCTTACACGAAATACTGGAAGCATGGTAGGATTTGGCATATACAAATTAAATTCCAAGTAGTAAGGTAAAATGCAATCTTCTGGAAAACTATATTCAGGATCCAACAAATGTGAATTAATATGTGAAGCTGAAGGTTTCGGATTTTTCGACAGACTTGCGGCTCAAGTTAAAGACGGAACATCTTGTGATAACGATTCCAATGATGTTTGTGTTGCTGGAAAGTGTGAGGTTAGGCCTTTTAACGATTGCTATAACTGTATATAATTCACATAGAAATATTACACACTGCACGTCTTTAGCATGTAGGTTGCGACAGAGTTCTTCTTTCCGAAGCAGTAACAGATGTCTGTGGTGTGTGCAACGGCAAAAATAAAACATGTCGACTTTATAACGGAAGTCACGTAGGTCAAGTCCATGATAGTGGTAAGAGTTTGTTTTCTAAATGCAAAAATAGCTTTTTAGCAATTCTTTTATAACTTATGCCCATTTTATGGCTCAGGATACTACTTCGTTGCAAGATTGCCCATTGGTGCAAGCACCATAAGGATTCGGCAGAATACTTGTTGTACCCACTCATATATTGCTGTGAGGGATGCTCACAATGCTAGCAGGTACTGTATAAACCTAATTTTGCTCATTGCTGTTGCTAACTGCCAATAACTAAACTACATTACATATAAGGTATTATTTGAACGGGAACTGGGAGATTGACATGCAAAAAGAAACAAGATTTGCTGGAGTAAAATGGCACTACAAACGAAAGTTTTCGCAACCACAAGAATTGATTACAGATGGTACTATAACACAATCTATCGTGATTGAGGTATGTGGCAATTATTATACTCTCTCTTCGGTCGTGAAGTTATTCAGTCTAATGTTTTAATTTTCGTAGGGCCTTTTCAATATGGGAAAAAATACCGGTATCTCGTATTCTTACTACATCAATGAAATCGAGAACGCATTGCCTTATGAAGTACTTACAAAGGATACAAAAACAAATATCACCTACAGTTGGCAAATGGAGATTTCAAGCTGCTCAAAATCTTGCGCAGGAGGTATTGCAAACTTTGAATATGCATTTCCCAGAAAAAATAATTTAAATTAAACTGTGTGTTTTGAAAATTTGAGATGATAGTTTGAAATTTTATGCATCTGTTCTGAGATCTGAACCAGTTCACAAAGTTGTATCACATTATATATGAAAATAAGGATTAATGTTTCAGGTATAAAACAAAGTGTTGCAAGATGCATGAAGAATGATATAACGGTAGCAGATGATTTGTATTGTAAACATCTAGCAAGGCCAATAACTGAAAGCAAATCATGCAATATGAATCCATGTCCTGCTACGTACGTTAAAAATTGTTCTGTAATTTATTTAAAACTCAAAACGTGTTTTAATTATATTGGTATTTTAATCAGATGGGTCAAACGACGATGGCATTCGTGCAATGCTTCTTGTGGAATAGGGATGAGAGCACGGGATGTTGTTTGTGCTCAAAATACAACGAGAGGACAAGAAATTATTTCCGACCTCATGTGTGATGTTCCCAGGCCGCAAAAAAGCAAGACTTGCTTTTTAAAAGAATGTTCATCTCAATGGAAAACTGGCCGTTGGACGAAGGTTTATTGAAAGATATGAATTTACTATTACTTTTATTACTTGTTCTAATGTAATGAATTAATTGTGAATATTCAGTGCTCAAAAACGTGTGGAAAAGGACAGAGAACACGAAACGTATATTGCGCGGACGAGTCAGGATATAAGGATAATGATAAGTGCGAATTAGAGAAAAAGCCGAAATCAAAAAGAGGATGCCGATTAGCGAAGTGTCGACGACAATATCAGTGGCTGATCACTGCTTGGGGAAAGGTAATATGTTTACATGTGGTTTATATTTGATTTTTAAAATTCGCGTTAAATAAATAAATATTTTATCAAAATGTTTTTCAAACAGTGCTGGGAACCTAAAGAAGAAGCGTTATATATATATAATGATATTTTATTTTCGCAGTGTTCTACAACATGCGGTTTGGGATGGCAAAGAAGAAAAGTACAATGTAGTAGAAAAAGTAGAAGAGGTGGATATAAACCTGCAAAAAGAAAGAGATGTAAACATAAGCCAAAACCGAAAATTTCCACCAAGAGAACTTGTACAAGTACTCTGTGTACGAAGACGTCTTCAATTGAAAACTTGAATACTTCCAGCTCGAATAATGATTCGCCGTCTATTACCCTGAAAAGCAACTCCAACAATACAAGGGAGTATTCGCCACACACGCGACCGAAGTGGATAGCTAATGACTGGGAAAAGGTACCTAAATGATGTTTTATTTTTAAATTACCGCAATTGTATTACACCCAGTGGTGGCTGCTTTTCTGAAACCTAGTTTGAAACGAAAATGGGAATTGTAAGAATTATCAAATTACTAATTACTGATAACGATGTACCGTAATATGTATATGTATAAATAAATTTTACTGTAATGGACAGTAATGATATAAGTGTGTTACAAAAAACATTTACCGATTTATTTTTGCCGAAGCATACTCACATCACTTACCGCTGTGTACCAATACTCAATTACTGATATTAAATATTTATAGTGCTCTGTTACGTGTGGAGGAGGGACACAATTTAGAAGAGTGACTTGTTGGACCAGTCTTTTATCACCTGCAGATTGTCCAGCAGGAAACAAACCGACAGCAGCGCGTACATGCAATACATATGACTGTCCCGTTGACATCATCCAAGGTAAAAAAAAAGTATTCTCTCCTTTCCATCTGACTGATTGCTAGGCGTAGTAATAGTGTAACCCCGGACATTTTTCTTTAAAGTTGATGTAAGATTTAGTAGCTTTGATCAGGGCGTAAATGTTATATTCGAGCATGGTGTTTTTAATAGAATCCCGCGAATCTGCGGCCGCGGGAACTTCTTTGCTTTATATTTTACGAAATTCCCACAAAGACAAGGATAGAAAATTTTCAAACGTTATCAGAATTTTCGCTGTGAAGAGTTGGACTCGCGCATTTTTGCATTGCAAACGAAACAGTCAAACGACTAGTTGCGAAAATCGGCAAAAATATTTATTTTAATTTATTTTATTTTAAATATTTATTTTTGTATAGACGAATTCTGCTCCGATAAATTCACTTGGTGTTATTTGGTTCCACATCATCGCACATGTGGCCATAAATATTTTGGATCTCAATGTTGTAAATCCTGCAAAAGTAATGAGCAACGCAAATCAACATGAACAGAGAGAATTATTTGAAATCATAAGAATTGATAGAACATCCTCATGTGGACCATTGTTCAAAATGGGGTTGGTTTTGGAATATTATTGTATTTGGTCATCGATATTGATAGGTTTTTATCAAAAACCACGAGTTTTGTTGCTATATTGCTTCAGGTAATGCACATATCAGACATTCCAATCATAAGATGGTACTTGAAAAACAATGTATTTTTATGGGCTTTCAGTCACAAAAAAACTCTAAATTTCCAAGTCAAAGCTCAGCAAATGTGAAACTGTTGAATTTATTTTTCGCTGTAAAGACTCGTTCCATCTTGCATTTTGTATTTTCTTCGGCGTATGTCAATGCAGTGCTACATCAAATTTAATGTAATTTCCGGCCTCATAATATGAAAAGTGTTGATATAATGTACATAAATTGATGCGTTCTCTATACATTCAAACAATGAAAAGGCTTCAAAATAGTTTGAAATTACTGTGTAACAGGCTGTGAAATTTTACTTCTTCTTTCACTTTTTTTACTCAGTTCTGTGGTTGTCTTTGTAAAATTATATATTTCTTGAACATGTGACAAAATTTCTATTTTGGGTGAGCAATGCAATAGAATCAGATGAGTGTTTGCCGCGTATATGAAGAGCATATGAGCATATAATTTCAATAATACCTATGACAAAAAAAGTCAGCAAAATATATTCAATATCGCAAATTTTTAATGATATTTGCAGAATTCTCTTTTTACTATCTCCATTTAGTGACATATAATTTGAAAAATTATGCATCAGCAACTAACTTTGTTGTCTGAAACGATTCAAACACATATATTTTGATTGAGGTATACTACAAAGACGCTAGGAACGAAATCTAAATTTTTGCTTCAATTGGAGACATATGACACAGAAAAGGTTGAGTTTTTGCCATTTTTTAGAAAGCCAATTATTAGAGATGGTATCTTAAAGTTAAATATAATTTTTACGGATTTCGCCCCTGCTTCGAAGCCTATGTAACTATTTAACCAATGTCCAACGCTTTACCATACTTAACAAAACGAAATTATGCAAAAGTAAACACAACAATCAGTAAACGGAAATTAATTCTGACAGGCGATTAGTTTCTGTTCGATTATCTTATCTAAATTATGACATTTCTATATGACACACCTAAATATCTGTGATTGGTGAAATGAAATAGAGGAACTCTATTTTCGACGTTCTGTAGAATAAATTACATCAACTTAGTGATCAGTATACCACAACAAAGCGACTACACGTCTTTGAGTAAATATACATTAGATAGTAGAATCGGATGTTCACGAGCATCTAGTCAATATTTGCCGCCATTCTTTATGTGTGATGTCCTTTGTTCGCGAGGATTTGATTGAAATGATTTCAAAACCGCTCGGTCTCAATGTGGAGTCACAACGCTCAATATTATACTGGAGAATTGGTTTATACACTATATAACAAGACCATTTATCCAGTGTTTACTTTTATTAACAAAGAAGTCTTTTGTGAAATAAAATAGCTTTACAGACTGTGGAAAATAGCAGTGAAATCCAATTGATTGTTTCAGATCACGAATTCATTGGAATATTATTGGTAATTCACTGTGTTGGGATCTAACCCATAGCAAGTAGAACACCTCCCGGAAACCTGCCACCAAAAAATCAAAGTATAACTTTTGTGAGCAAGTCGAAATTCCGATTTTTCAACATAAAAATCATGCTTGGCTTTAACGAAGAATCATCTCAAATTCTAACACTACCCTCTGTAACTTAACAGCATGTAACTATTTTTGTATACTAGACACACATTAATATGAACGAAAGTATTAGCTTAGCATTAGCATTCTACTCCTATAGGACAGATATCATTCGCCGTTCACAACATTAGCATTTTGTTCCCAGCTCAATACCTTGTTATAAGATGAAGGTACTATTTTAAAATTTACGAATGTGGATAGCTTACAACACCAAATATTTTCCAACTTTAGGACAAGCGTTCTCTTATGTTCTATCAAGGATACTTTGATTGTTATGTAAAAGTTTCCATTTACTTGTTTTATCGGTGGTCTCTGCAAAGTGTTCAAGGGTAACTACCGGTCAGAGATGATACGCTTTGTTGCTACCGCCTGTGTTTGCTTCGAGACAATTTACCTCATAGTTTGTGCAAACATACATTGAAAAAATAGTGACAGCTTTTTTACGCGTGAGAAAGGGTGACCGTGCATTTGAACTCACGTACATTTGAACACATGTGTATATCCGCGGGTTCGATTTATATGCGGGTGCTAAAACCCATGGGTTATGGTTAGTTTGGGTTCAAATATCCGGAAAACAAAAAAAATTTCCATAGGTGCAATAGTATGTAGGTGCAATTGTCGTGGGTTCAAATGTAATGGAACCGTGAGAAAAATATCCCAGTCTGCGTTAACATATATATATATATATCATGTTTAAGTATCTAATGTGTGTCAATTTTGAGAACTTGATAACAAAAAATCTTTACTCTGTCTCTTTAATGAATACATGATTTGTTACGACGACCTGAAAAAAGTACGACTTTATTCCCTCCAAAAATGATATACAGAACTATCCCAACCTGTAATATAACAGTGCAGCGGCATCTGGATTCGCATTATTTGTCACAGCGACACTTATCTCTAATTTGAATGCTTCCTCTACCCACTTCACGGAATTCTCCCTACAGTTTTAGATCCGTATAAACCGTTTTAACCTTAAACGTATCATGGAAAAATCATGCCTCAAATTAGTTAACAATGCGACAGGCTTTGTGCTGGGTTATTTTAGTGTATTCAACAACACACACTTCACGGAATTCTACTTTATATCGTATCTTGTTGTGGAAGTTGTATAGGAACGAAACAGACATGAAGTTGATTTCACATTTTATTATAAAACGCGCTATTCAGTGGCGATGTTGAAAATATACTGCGATATAAATATCAGAAACAAGTAAAGAAAATATAGTAAAAATAATAAGTGATAATAATTAATATTACAGAACAGTAAGGAAAATAAATAATACGAAAAAGCACAGTGAATTTCAAAGTCAAAAATATATCAAAATAAAGTGAAGTTGGTGAGATAGAAATTCATATGGAATGATACAAAAAGGGAATGTTTCGTTTGGTCGGTAACCATCAAGAAACATATAAGCCATAAGACAAGAACCAAAGGGTAAATCACGGTGCTAGTCATGGGAATGTTAAAGAATAGCAATCGTATGCTTGCCTATCGTAGCGGGCAAAAAATAGCTAATTCATAAAGTTAAAATATTCATTAGAATATTTAATTGAAAGGCTAATTTTTCAGGACATGAATCACAATTTAATAATCTATCACGTTATTCATTTATACTAAATTTTACATTGTGGGGTGAAAATAGTTTCAGAACTTTTCGGACGTATCTGTAGTAATGCAACTGTAAAATAACGAACATTAGAATAATTTTTCGCATGATATGATGCATTCAAAAAATACATGACAAAATAATATAAAACAAATCCTCATCGAACCAGTCGATGTCCAAATGTTTGGCTGAAAAAAATATCACAAAACATAGCATTAGATGGATTCCAGAAAATTAACAAAACATTTTCCAACGGGAAGTATTGAAATAATTGGAAGTCATTTCGATATTAAAACGCACAGTCAAGACATGCAGGATAGCAAATTTACGTTACAATAGGCACAGCGTAACCAAAAAATGCCGAAAGCCTTTCACGCTAAAATATGACGCAATTGAAGAGCGAGTTATCGACTTGTTGACAACAAAAATTTGAAAACAAAACAAAGGGGAAAAACGTAAAAATCAGTACAATATATGAAGTCACTGTATATAATAAAGTAACAAAATTAAATACACAAAATAAACAGTTGAAAGTTGTTCTGAATTAGTTAGTAAGGAGTATCAGATAATTAAATTTTTCAGTCAAAACTTGTTCTTAATTTAGCTTTTGATGAAGTTGTTTATGAAGTTGATGAAGTCACGCGGTAATGGCCACCAGGGCCGGCGTGATAGTTGCGTAAACAGCCAATCGAGACCGGCGAAAGGCTTTATTTCCAGCTCACAGAATCGGTGAAACTTCCGGGCAAGATCACACACATGGTTGGTTCTCTCCTCTCACAGAATACTCGAGCTCGGTTTTGTACCGGTGAAATAGATTCCACACGGTTTTATTATTATTATGAAACCCGCTTATGTGAATGTGTTCAAACACCTTTGCAAGATTTGCAGCATTGTGGTCCAAAGAACTTATGAGAACAAGTGTTGTGCTGAGGTACGAGGTAACACCATTTATACTTATCTTCACAGAGGGGTTCTTCTAAAAATTGGAAAAAAAATGTTTAATTAAGTCAAAATAATCTACTTGGTAGAAAAACAAGAATACATTTTATTAAAAATCTAAAAATAGAATTTCGTATTAGAGCCTAGCCATATACCTATTTTACAATAATAATGCATGCATAATTTAAATTACCTTTTTTCTTTATTGTCGGACATTGATATGTGTTACATGCTCTCGCATTCAACGGCCTATCGCTACTGGAGCACGATATCGACAGATTTCCTCCAAGCATACATTTCACTGTCCTAACTTGACGACCACCACCACACGAAACTGAGCACTGTGCAAAGAAAAAAATTATCATTACATGAAAGTATATAAGACAAAACCAAACTAAACAATTGGTTATACTCTTACCTGTCGCCAGGATGATGAGATCCATTTCCCAGATTGTACTTTGTGATGTTGGTGTGTCACGTGTCTAGATGGTGACGTCATTCTTCTCGGTTGACTGGTTGTCGGTTGTCTGGTTGTTTCGGGCAACGTTGTAATCGTTGGGCAGGCGCGTTTAGAGCAAGTCCTAACAAGTGACAGATTAGGCTTCTTAGCGTGTCCACATTTTCTGGCGTTTACAGATTTGTACCTCCCAGTTCTGTCTTTGTAACTGCATTTCAGCTGTCGAGTTTGTTGTCCTTCGCCGCAGGTTACAGAACACTAAAAAGAAAAGATTGTTTAGATTTACATATAAGACACGATTGGAAAAATGAGTGAAATGTAATCGAAACTTACTCTTCTCCACGCAGTTATGAACCACTGAAATTGTTTTCTCCGGCAGTAGGCTACCAGGCATGTTTGTCGATAATGTGGTTTCCGTGCTTTGTCACATCTGTTTTCGGGCACCTTTCGCATTCCGCTTCGACAAGACACTGGTCGCGTGCGGATACCTCGACCGCACGTTTTGGAGCACTGTAAAATACACGTCATTATTTGTCTGTCCTATTCACGAGAGAAGACATAAAACATTAAATCGCGTTTCCGTGAATGTTATTTTACCTGAGACCAAGTTCCCGCTTTCCAATCGGCTGGACATTCTTCTTTGGCGCAAATTTGATTTCTCATTGGCTTATTTGACAAGTCGCAATGGTTAGGCGCTACGTATTCTTCACCGTCGGTAGTGTTTCGCCTGCATGTAACTCTTCTTGTTTGTAAACCACCACCACATGTTCGACTACATTCGCTCCATTCCTCGGTCGCCCATCTGGAATAAGTAGAAATATTATACAATAAGTTATATAAAATAAAATATTAAAACCATTTATTAGAATGAATCGAATAAAAGCTTACCCAGCAGGACATGGTTCAGAATTACATATCTCTGTTCTTTTCCCTGGCTTCGGAGATGAAGTACAAAGATTATCATCGACTTTGGTTAATCCATCTTCAATGCATACCGCAACGACATCTTGTTGGCCTAAAAGTTACAGGACTGTTTAATGCTTATCCCATACATTAGTTTCTTATGGTATAAATGCATTTGATTTCGCCCTACCTCCTGCACAAGACTTGGAACAAGCAGATCGTTCTTTTCCCCAGGAATAGGTATGAATTTCCACAGGCATGTGAGGTAGAGAGTTATCAATTTCTTTCATTGCATACGAATAAGCTATTCCAGGATTTTCTCTTACAATCAGCGCCTAAGTGAAAAATGAACATAATTAAAAAATTTCTGCGATGTACTTGACATGGTGGAGCAAAATCACCTATACTGAATACAATTTTATATACCTCTATAATTAAATCCTCGTCTATTGGACCGTTTGTTGACAGAATCTCGTTCTCCAAAGTTTGTCTTCGGTATTGCCATTTCGCTCCAGCGAAAGTAAGTTCGCCGAACAAATCCACTCTCCAATTGCCATTCAAGTAATACCTAAAGTATATAACGAGAGCGATAAGAAAGTTGTGAATATGTCAATCAAATAACTGATAATATAATATCACGCGTGACTTACCTCGTTGGGTCGCGTGCACTCTTCACAGAGATGTAAGTATGTGTGCAACACTTCTCTTCCCATATCTGAATAGAACTGGCTCCTTCGGGAATTCTTGTAACGTGGTAATACCCTGTGGAGTGTAAATTTTATTACATATTTATATCCGAAATACTACTATATTAATTCTCAAGTAGCAGAACTTTACTTACCGCTGTCAGGCACATAATCATCAAAGGTCCCGTTAACGAATCTACACGTTGAGTTATCGCCGTTACATACCCCACAGGCGTCGACGGTCGCGTTTGAATTGAGAATGTTGTCACATCCAACATGCTGAATAAGAATAGAAAATCACATGAAATAAAACTATTCAAGATGATAACTATGGAATAAAAAATAAATTAATAAAAAATTGGCATACCGTGCATTGGCCAGCGATGCATACATCTTTGGAGTCATCACTACATGATGTGCCGTCCTTCACTTGGGGGGCTAGTAGGTCAAAAAATTTATATCCTTCGGCTTCGCATAATAATTCGCATTTGTTGAAGTCTAAATAAAAATATTATTTTGTTTATGATGACAGTTGGACCTAAATTAATAAGGATAATTTTAAATCATGATAATTATATTTACCATATTTCCAATATTTTGTATACGGCACCCAGCTGAAGTATTGTCTGCGGTAAGGTTTACTGTTAAATTCGGCGCATTGTTGTGCTCTGAAGTCAAGTGCCGATGGAGGGCATTCCTGAAGAAACATAATATTCATAGTTTTATAAACGATAACTTAACGACGTTTACCTTTGCACTGTAAGTAGCACTTACCATAGTATTGCACAATGAGTAGATTTTATCTTCTCCTTCGCAATATCGACCACCATATTTCGGAGTTGGACTGTTGCAAATACGTTCTTGATAAGTAACACCACCACCACAAGTTCTGCTACAGTCGGACCAAGGTCCGAATTCCGACCAGCCTCCGTTAACTGCTTGTGGCCCAGAGGATCCCCGTGGAACGCATTCGCCTCTTCTACACCACTGAATAACCAAAAACAATTTAGCTATCATTCACTAGTCGAAATAATTATGATCAATTTGTTTTGAGTGAATATCTATCTACCTGATTTCGACCGCATGATGTTCCTTCAGCAGCTGGCATAAATTTTGTTTCACAAACTCCGTTACTTCTTTGGCACCAGAGAGATTTGCAAACTGATTTCTGAAATAAGAAGACTTATATTTCAACACCAATACATTTCCACATCAAAATTAAATGAATCATGTTTCCTATATTGAGCTTACCATATTTCCAATGTGCCGAAAATAACAAAGTTTGACACCATAGCCAAACTGCATTCTGCATTGATCATTGGCGCTATAAATTTGCCCGGGTAGTTCTTGTCGTTTTGTTCTTGCCGTTAAAGAAGTTGGAACTGAACTTTGCGCATCGTCGAGGCAGCTGGAATGGTCAGACCTGAAACAGATTAATTGCCATGTGAATATTTTAGATTTTATAAAGTTACATCACACATATGATCTAAATAATTACACTTACTTCAAAAATTGTTGCAATGATTTCCGACTACATGATGACCAAGTGAACACACCATTAAGTGTATTTAATGTGGGTGACATGATATGTCCACCTCTTTTGCTACATGAATTCCCTTGGCTGTCGTGTTTCATACCAAAACTGTAATAGAAACGTACATGGTCCATGAAAAACAACTAACATTTAGTTTGTGGGTTTCGTTTTATGACTATACAATACAATTGAAAATGATTTCCTTTATTTATTTTTCACTCCGACAATTTTCAATAGAAGGCGACTCTGATTTTGTTTACATTTTTATGGGGTGACTGATAAACAAAACATTAAAAGACTTCAATTGACTACATAAATCGATTTTGAATAACGATCACATCAAAGGCGACGAAAACCAGAATAAATACATAAAATGGAAACCCGCCTTAAAATTAAATTCCTTAATTCTGACCTAGGGTGGATTTTACGGATATTAAAGTACATAAAATAAAAGTACGATAACTTTTATATTTAGTACTTTTATATTAGTATATTTTAACTTACCTATGTCCTGTTTCATGGGCAACTGTGAAAGCGAGTCCGAGACCCATGTCTTCGTTGATTGTACAACTGTCCGATCGACTGCACATTCCTCCAATCTGAGCAAGACCTGTTTGTTGACAAATTATTTATTTCGTTTGGATTTATAATTTAGTTTGTTCCCACTGGTTTTAATTACAAAAGTGAAAGGATCTATTATTTTCCATCGTTTTGATAACGATATATATGTACAAGTTACTTCAAAGGACATCACAATGTGTGGCATTATGCCAAATTGCAAAACTTCAAGTAAGTTTCATTAAATGTCAAAACTAATTGCATATCCATTATAACAGTAGGGTTTACTTCTTCAAACACATCTATTCTATAATAAAAATATTGTTCGTTTTTGATTCATATATGTTATGTACTTTTTTTTTAAATATTCCATTTTGTTTATAAATATTTTAATGTGCTCACCTAAAGTGTCGCATGGTTGATTTCTATCAATACAGATGTCTATGCCCGTGAGTAAAATAGAATGATCAGGTTTTCTACCGGTGGTCGTGTTTGCTTTTGTCTGCCAATGACAGAAGCTTGACAACGATTTATCAGCCCGGTGGTCCAATCTTAGTTCCTGTAAAGCACGAGGGTAACAGAAAATGTAAGCTTGCGCCCAAATAATAATGGAAAAAGATTCATCGATTACCAACGTTTGACTTATAACATGTCGTACTATAGCAGTGCGCACCTGTTTATAGATACGTAATCTGTACCACATGTGATTTCTATTTGCATAGCAAAATTTGACAAGTTCCAAATAAAGAATAGAATATTTGACAATAGATTATACAAGAAAAAGAACGTTGAAAAACTAAAGTAAGCAAACCTTGTCATCTTCCATAAGAGTTATACCGATCAAAACAATATCTATGTTTCCGTCGAGGGTCCCATCTTTGAAAAGACTAGTTACCTGTAAAAAAAACATGTTAATTCACAAGATGTCCATATATGATGTCCTATATGATGGAATAGGAAAGCACGGCAATCTGTCACACAAATAAAAACGCTGGTATATCTTCTATTTATTGAGTGATAGCTGCTGATAGCGGGTTATCCCATGTAACTTAAGGAATCTGTTAGTGAGGAATTTTAAGATTAGAAAAATCCACTGGTTCTGGTTTGAGCGGAATGTGGGGAATTTGATTGATTAATATACATTGTATAATACACAGCCGCATTCTTGGAGCGCGCAAAAGGAGGCGGGACTTCGTCGTTTGCCAATATTTTCATAACATTCCTAATTCAAACTACTCCTATTGTGTCGCGGAATCAGGAAACCGTTCATACAGAGATCATTAATGCGACGCCGCGTGGGTCCAGCGCTAGAGAATTTTTGAAGGAGGATGCATTTTTGCCACAGAGCTTTGATGAAACTATTACTCAATCTGAATACGTCATAAGTCAAAGGTGAAGTTTTTAAAAAAAGAAAAATAAACATCATGGCGACGACTGAAGTTGTATTTATATATGCCGTAAAACACAGGTCTTTGTTCATTGTTGGAAAAGTATCCAGAGTAGTGTGACACGCATTAAACCTCTTTCTCTTGCGTATACATTTGGGGTTTTATAAGTAACCACATTTGTGCCAAAATAAGTGAAGCGTATGGCAATATCATCATACTCTTTAGATTGCAATGAACCGCGCAGTGTAAAGATCTATGCTGCTAGCTGAACTTGTGATATTCACAACAATTCTTCAAAGAAAAAATTAAACTTTCAAGTCATCAAATAGTTTTCTAAGTATAGTAATGATTAAATTGATGTGCAAAGGTGCCATTTGTTTATACTCCTCTATGAATTTGGAAAATGGCTCATTTATATCTGCACGTTGCCTCAGTGTGTTTTAAAATGCATTCGATGCACTTCAATTCATATTTAGTTATCCATTTGATAAAGATATGAAATGAACTTACCATATTCATTACTGTTAATATGTATGTTGTGACGTCAACTCGGTCGTTTTCGTGATTTTTAACGAGTTGTCTGTCGGCAACAACCAGTGTTTCGACGACTCTTCTTCTTTGGTATCCAGGACGTTGTGCGGCCCAAGGATCCGCTGAACGTTTGTGGCGGCCAAGTTTTATAGGGTCCTCATCTACATCATCGAAGTGTGGATTTCTGCCATATTCATGTTCAACTTGTTTTGGGGTTTTGACAACGATTGCACCATCTGACAATTGCCGAATTTGGGCGTCCGCGTCTTCCAATATTGCTGTTGGATCTATATATATTAAAAAAACAGTTGAATAAAAACGTTATCGTGGATTTCTTCATAGAGTAGCCTCTGTTTAATTTTGAACAATTTTGTTTACGATCAACACAAGAGCAAATAGGTTAGATTAATCAACTTCTAGATATTTTTTATAGGTTTTCCGCCATTTGTATCTATCTAAAAACAACCCTTAACCCTACACTTAACAATCGAAATATTCTGTGAACGTTAAACAAACGTACCGTATATATGATGAACAACAATATGTCTGTGAAAATTTCGGATTAATATGCAATGACACTTTAAACAAAATTGCTAGACTTGGATTGTCTGGAATAATAAATGAATTCCATTACAAAGAATTCCCTTTGTGCTGCAATGAGCAAACACAGCAAAATTTATCATCAAATTCCTTTTGCAAATACACTGTTCCAGCAATTTTTGAGCAAGCAGAAATCATAAAGAAATCGTTTTCTTGAAATCTATTGAACACAGTACATATATGGTACGGGCTATGGTCTCTATCTAGCTTATGTAAACTGTATTTTACAACGTTAGTACGACATCGCACGCAGTTTATATAGATTAACAATAAATCCACATAGACCACCGGCATAGTTGTGGTTATTCAACTCCGATTATCTAATATTTAGTCTGCCTTTGGCAACGTTAAGTGACGAGAAGTCATCGTAAAGTATTCCAGGTTTCTTTCCCAAAACAAAGGATTAATATTTGGCTTTCACATGAATATTGAGTCAGTATAAGCTCTGTTGTTAATTCAAGACTAATCGGAATGACTCAAATTCCCATTGTTACTTAATACAACTTTTTCAAAATTGTTCGTTTTTTGTGAAATTGATAAATGACCCACGGTTTCCTATTCCAATGCGTAATTTACAATCATAAATAAGTACATAACGTATGTTATTAATAAAAACATCAGAACTGGACATATTATGATAAATTATGCATGGGCACAATCGGCAACGTGCTAAAGTAAACATCCAACGTTTATGGCCCATTAGCGTCTAAGCCGGATTATGCCCAGCAGGTAAGAACCGAGGACAATACCGCTACTCAATAGAAATATGCCCTCGATTCGGGCGTGTTTGACCAAAGATCTTTCCCATGATCTCAAATTAGGTGCAATATTATGGACATAATTTTGCCAACGTCATTTTTATACTAAACAGTCTTGCAGTGTCAAGTTTGACATAACATGATACCAGTTTCTCATGAACTCTTCCGCAGATAATTCTAACTGTGCACATATATAAAGGGAAATCTAAACATTAACTAAAGAATCAAGTTTGCGTTGGTTTAGTTTAGCATAATAGATGGGGTAACGACGTAAAAACAAGGATATTTACCCAAAATATTTGAGGTGAATCCGGACACCTCCAGTGAAATGGGGACGGTAATTTTGGGTGAAAATAAGCATGACGTATTATCGTGTTATAGCAACAAAACTGTCAAAAGAGGGAAAGATACCAGTTGTCGCAAAACTAATGATTTGGCAACAAACCACAATAGCCGGGAGTTTACTTACGGATTTGGTGTCTGACTTTTGTGCGGGGTTTGGACGTAGTCGTCTGCTTTAGCAACTTACATTATATCAAATTGAATATAACAATAAACTAACTGGTCGTGGGAAGGCTTAATTTAATACTCGGTTTAATCGTCGCGAAAATTGACAAATTGCTTTTTCTCGTGGGAGGACCCACAACTATAATAGAGTAGATGACCTTATTTCAGCACGTGTGTTAGCTTACTATTTCAGAGACGTTCACTAATAGGTTTGGATTTAGGCCTCGGACAAAGAGTAAATCCTTCAAATAGCGATTATCCTTCTTTGTTAAATGATTGTCCTCAGCGGGAAAAAATTGGACAGGTGCCTAAAAATTTCATTATGAACTCAGGTTTATGTCGGTTTTCAAACACAATCATTATGAAAACGTCATAAAAGAGTCTCTAGTATTCAACATATTTAAATTTTGAAGTTATCGTCGCCTTTAGTTATGTCTTCCTCATCATCGTGTATGCAACATAAGGCCTTTCACAATCTAATTCTAACCCGTGCTCGTTGCCCATAAAATATGCTTATGAAAATAGCAGATCTACATTAAAAACATTTTTGAGCACGATTTGAAGTTTTAACATAACTTCGACAAGACTACATAAACTCAATATTTATATATATACATCGACACACAGCATTGAATACGGTGTTTATTTATCTGTAATATCAATAAAACTTGCTGTTTATTCAATTATTTCGTCCAATATCAACATTTCTCGCCGTCGACATTCACGGCGCATTTATACCAATGGTTTTGAGAAGACAGAGGTTCCATGTATACCTTCAAAGCTTGTATGACCTTACCCGGGTTATTGTAATTTTGTGGTAGATTTACAGAGCGGGGACATTCTGATGACATTTCCTATAGGATTGTGTTTATATAGATATGCTTTCAAAACACCAGTTATCGATAAGTAATATCCGATCAAGTCTGGGTGACAGTCCGACAAAGGTATATATATTTTTTTATCAATTTATAACTTCAGTTTAAAAAAACTAATATTACATTTAAATTTACTTACGTCTTTTTTGCTTTCCGCAATAGTGAAGTTTTTGTTTTCCATTCTTTCCGTTTCCCAGGTGTTTTCGTTTGTAGATGATATGGGGATGTTGGGGAGAAGGGAAATGGCTTGTAATTTCCGGTGATATTGGCTCAATAATGAAATCGTCTTCTCCAGTTCTGAGTAGTCCAGACTGCAAATAAATATGAAACCAATTTTTAGTGAAAATTATATGCAATTAGGCGATAATATTTAAAAGTATGAGATGCTGACTGCAATGCAAAAACTTCAGATATTTCCCGATTAGCAACACACTATTTAGGCAGGCCCAGGAAAAAAAAAAAACATTTTCTCATACAGTACACCATTTCTCATAAAACTTCGTCATGTTAGAGAATTATTCTCAATTTCTAGCTTAACGTATCAGCTACTATGATCATAGAAACCTAGGTTTAATAACCCTAGCCGGTTTATAATACTATTAATCAGTAGTTTATTTTTGGTTTGAGAAAAATTGGAGTGTCATTATTCTCAGAGATTCATTTTTATGATTGTTTATATTTATGGATCAAAATTGAGAATCCATCATGGGAAAACGGCAGAGAACTATAAAAACAAATTCTCTTGCCAATCCATACGACCATTGTTCGGTGATTGGCTCTGACGTACAAGGGAACGGCTATTCTACCATTGAACACGTGTAGCCTCGCAGAAAGACCAGGTGTTCCGGCACATCGACCACATAATTAATATCGGAAGGCTGCGCTAAACATACAAAAGCAACATTTTAATTTCAATCGTTTGCCGCATTGGATCTACTAATAGAAGAACGTGTATATCACAAGTAAACCAAATTTTACTGGGCAGACGTCAGAGCATCCAAGCGCGGCCTGCAATTTGCGATTTACAGTATAACAATACTTGGCTATTATTGTATACACACAAAAGCCGAGCTTTATAGTATATTGTCCGACATTATGCGAACGACATTTATCACCTTTACGCTAAGTTGGGTGGTCCTCCTTGTCAACGACTCAATGCGTCAGGTGTGCGTCTTCATTCACCACTCATTGATAAACGAAATTCATTAAAAAAATAATAGAAATATATTAATCCCGCAGTTTGACTGATGTCATAACAAAATTGCGTTGCTGTAACTCCAATGTCGTTCAAATTTGCTGATTGACTTATCTTAAGTCTGATCAGGTAAACTCAGTTTACGTAGTGATTATTTCGCTATTCATGTGTGACAGAAATGAGATATTTCGTATGTTATTATAGAACTATATGATGACATCATTTCAAAAAGAATGTAACAAAGTAGCCCATTGTGGTCTCACATAGCAAAATTACAAGCGAGGATTTGATGTTGGTCGATGCACTCGACCTAAATCACGGTCTCACAAGTCGCTTTTGTTCGACTAAGTTTTTATGTTTATGCTGGTTACAGTTGAGTCAACCTGTATCCGTTATTATAGGAATCACCTTTTCAGAAACAAATCTCATTTCCTGACAAAGTTGGCATTATAAATTTCGAAGTTTTTATATGCTAGAAACGTACTAATTCCAGAATTTGGATTTGGAATTTTAAACTATATATTAAATGGACTTTTTGATGTAATATGCTATAAACTAAAACCAGTGTTCAGAATTCAAAATTTATAAATATCTGGCAGTCGAGAAAACAAGCTATATATAAAATATATATGTCAGTTTGAAGTCAGAGCGCTGAAGACGAAAGTGACGCGAGGAAAAACATTCCTGTGCATTCTAGGCATCATCTTACTGCTTATCCGCATTATGTCATAACATGATACATAATTTGCCTCAAACGATACGTCTGACCAAATCACGTACGAAAATGCGTGGTATCGACCCTACTCAGGTTACGCACTTCGGATCTTAGCGGTTGGAGTTGATTTTATCAATGTGACGAAACGGGGAAAACAATATGTTAATTATACTTGCAGTATGACGAAAGTATTAAAAATGAACTTATATAGCCATACACAACAAATATTAAAAACATGTATAAGGGCCAACGAATTATATTTACTGAGAACAAGTCATGCAATACTTGCCCCTAGTGGAAGCTGTTTAAAAGCCCGGAAAAAATTGTACAAACGGTCATATGCACGACTGTATTGGTATCTAGGAATAACAGTATAAACATTGGGCAGTTTTCTCATTACTTTTTACGACATCACTGACATCTAGTTTTGATTAGGTTATCGTATATATTAGGATGACTTACCAGTCCATCACAAGTGCTGATGGCCGTTGTCCTGTTTTGGTGAGACAACATTTTTCCTGTATAATGACAGTCAAGTCCGTTGCTTCTTTCTTCATGTTCTTTCAAAATTCCCGTCGTTGCATCCCTGCGGATTCTCTTTACCGCGAATGTGGGAGCAAATAAGAGATTGTTGTTTTCTGAAAGTTCAACATGGAAATCGTGTCCGTGAGCTGATATTTTGAAAATATGCGATTGATCTTCTTCAGAGAGACTACGACGAACCCTGGTTTGATGTAACGAGTGTGTAAGATGATTTCCAGCATCATCTATCAGTTCAGGAACAGCGATTTCAAAATCTGTCAGATAAAACAATGAAAATTAAAAAAGTGCAATAATGTGCGTAACTTCCGTCAAATAACGGCACTCTCTAAATAACGTTGTCACATTGTCCTATTAAACATATACACTACGTGATCCCCATTTTATCTCAACATACACAAATTAGTCTTAATCAAGTTTATGAGTTAATATGTTTATTATTAATGGCATGCTACTTGTCAATTATTTAACATATCTTTTTCTTTGACATAATGACAAGTAACAAGTTTACTTTCGGCTGTAAATTTTGATAACAGATGATGACAGCACAAATTGTTTTCAATTTATTTATTGCCCAATATCTCGCGGCTCATTAAAGCATAAAAACATCTTCTAAACTTTTTCGAATCTAGAATATGTTAATATATAATTTTACGCTAATCACCTCAATCAATTGGAATAAACAAAATACCTTCCAAGTGTGTGTGGGTTGTGCTTCGGACCAGCCGATGCAGTGAATGGTGAGCATCCGTGTAATGCAGTTTTTGACTTGTGCCTGATAAAGATCGGCATTGAACCTAAAATAAAAATGGTATTTCGAAATGAGAAGAGTTAATCTTTTCCTAATATGCCAATACCCATGAAATGTGTGCAAGATGTAAAATCTCCCACAAAATCGTAAACAGAGATTTTATCTTGGATATTGCCCTGAGATTACCTCTGTTTACGCGGAGCTCATTATTTGAAAAATATGTAAAAACACGGTTCCAATTACAAGAATGTGCACAATAAGCATGTCTTTTTTTATAGTAGGGAATATTTTGCCAAACAAATTCTTATGGGATTTCGATTTTACATCCTTCAACGAAATGATGCACGAAATCTTCCCCTGACATTTGGCAACGTTGTTAAAAATGAGAATTAATTCTCAACGGGTGATATAATAAAATAAATTTATATTTTAATAAATAAATTTATATTTTAATAAGTATAATTTTCTGATTATCCCCTCACTGTACGACTTTGCAATATGTCACATGTCCCCAAAATTGAAAATTATCTGTCCCCAAAGAACAGGGACATTAAAAATAAATAAACAAGAACGTGCCCTTCAGACATTACGTCTGCCAGAGAGCGGCGTTTATTTTGGGGGTAGTACGTCACACACCACCGAGACAGAGTAATCGCCCGCATTTTTACGTTCTCGCGCTAACCGCATGAAAGTCACCAATACTTCAATATCAATTGCCTCTTGTCATTAAAACCAATTTGGAGGTCAATTAGACATAGTTAAGTAAAATTTGTGTAATAGATATAACATATATAATTATAGTTTTACCTAAAGCTAAAGGGGGCTATAATTGGGGGTTATAATTATATAGTCATCCTCCCAGTGCCTGAGTTACCAGTTTTTTTTATCAATTTTTCCCATGAAACAAACTCGATGTTAAAACCAAACTAAAAAATGATAAATAAATAGACTAATTAAAAAATACCAAGTCTTACATATTATAAAATTCAATACTTACCATTGTGATGGTCGCTGATATGGCCGCGAGAATTATAACTCCGATATAATCCATTTCTTCTTTTTTATTTGTTTTACTTGTACAAATTAAAATATTCCGAATTGTGGATCGAAAAGATCCTGTGTATCTTGCCGATGAGAAACACCAATAGAGGCCCCGTAGAGATGAAAACGTCTCGGAATAACAAAACCCTATTGTTGGGAGTCTATAGCCGTGGTATAGTATATTACTTGTCTAAATAGAAAACAATATCATCATAGTCCGTTCATACAATACTTGGAAGGTATTTAAAGCAAAACCGTATACAAATTTACTAATTTATGGGTTTGAGCCACAAACCCCAACTATAAGATCTACTTATACAGTAATTGTCTATGGTGCAGTGCAAGCGTATATATTCGGTCGATTTTTCTGATGTCGAAAACTTTTTTTCTTTTGTGCGGCTTTAGCGAACGAGGTGAGGGCCTATACGTTCGATAGTGAAGTGGAAAGGAGTTTTCTCTCCACTTGAATATATCTCTCCTTCTCTCGCGCTTATGTGCCTACGGATTTGTGAACCCAGCTTGCGATACTTTCTAAGCCTTTGCCATTACAGTAGCAAGAATTTTGCTACCCGCTCACAAAATGCATTAATTTCCGGTATTTAACAATTGTTATTTTTGACCCTTGGGTTTTGATCATGGTCGTCCTCATAGCGCCTCTTCGTGTCTACATCACAATACGCTGTCCCTCATGCGCACAAATTCGCTAGTATTAATTGTTCATAACTATAACATACTACTACCCCAAGCAAATGGACGTTTGCTAACCCTATCTATTTATATACAAATATAGTACTGGGCAAACTACTGTATGCCCACCACTGGTATCTATCGAGCGAGGTTTTCAATTAGATATATGCGTATCGGTTATGTCAATACTTAGTCTGAACCGCAATCTAATAATTCATACAATATAAAACAATTACACTGTCACCTATATTATTAAATCAACATGCATAGATTTTATAACCTACAGCGCCACGTTTAATGAAAAGATAGAAAAACATTCTTCACCTTGATAAAGTCAGCTTATTACATGGGTATTGAAAGCAATATAGAATACAATACATTGACATTTAAGACCAGCCTAGGGGAAGATACTTATCTCATACTAAACGTCAAGTCTACAATAAATCGCGTAAAAACAAACTAAAACGACCAACGCTTTGTAGAAGAGTAAAATAGCTATTACGTAGCTTACTATTTGTGATAAAATCAGTGCGTAAAATTTTTGGGTGCGATATTGCGCAAAAGTGGATGGGGATACTAAAAAAAATAATTAATTCGTTTTGATAAACTATCCGTCTCTATTATAAAATGGTCTCTGTCTTTTTTTAATTTTATTGGTAATTGTTTGAATGTCTATTTAAATCTAAACTTCGATACGATTTATTTTACAAGACATACCGACGCACGGTGTGTTTTCCCGCCGCTCGAGATACACGACAAACGCGTCGTCCTTAACACCTTTTCTCGTCAGACGGGATTGTCGGCGGTCTCGCCGCTATTAAATAATGTATAGCAGCATATATAAGGTCGTTGCGTATTACAACAGTATGAATATATAACAAATATATATAGAATAATAGTCAACATATACACGAATAAATACTGCAGATATTCTACCTAATCGCCTACATTGCCTATCACATGAATATACGAAAGCGGAATACAAATCCGATTTATAGCCTACCGATAACAAGTAGCATAACCCGCCATACCGTGTATCTACTGAGATAGCTAAAAATATAGACCATCTTAAAACATATTGACATCATTAAACAACATTCGTCAATATTTCTTAATATTTTCAGTGTCTGGAAACTCTTTGGCGATTCGGGTAAAGGGTCAATTCTTTTTAACTTTTTGCGTGGAATCATATAACGGTTGACAACCTCTAAATATCCGATCTTCATCTAAATTCATCCTTCTAAGCAATGTAATTCCTATATGGGTGTATCAACAAATTAAAATAAGTATTCAGCTATCAAATTATGACTCTCCCTCATTCCTATGGTTTACCATATGCTAAAGGAGGCTTTCTTTATAAAAGATCAAAATTATATTAGTATTTTATCTGTGGTACTGGCGATTATTCTATTTCATCATACAACAGAACATAGATCTCTGCTCTTGTGCTATTAGTTCGTATTTACGTTTGGTCCTCTCTATCGTTCAAATTCACAATCCACAAGTTGCACCAATTCATGGGAAATGAGGCAGTGGAACATCACCACTACATTTTAAGAAAGAGAAGAGGACCAACAACGTATGTTTATTTTAATATGTAAAAGAAGTGTTTTATAGTTCTTTCTCGTTATGTTTTTCACGTCGAAAGTGATGGTTGACCAGACACGAAGATTGTATAAAATTTGCTTTATAAAGATTAATTTCCCCCTTTACCATGCTTGTACGACAATAAAAAGATCCGTGTTTTAGTGGCCTTTAAGTCAACAATGCCTCTTCGGAACAAATCTCGAAAGCGACGTATACCTTTTATTTGTACGAGCAAACAAACGTTGAACGCGCCGCTCTGAGGCGACTTTAGGTCATTCAGGACGAGGTTTTTTTAAAGCTTTGGGACGTGATAAGCGACCAAGACTAAAACCAATTTGCCGGCCTACCCTGTCAAACCAACACATTCAGACTAAACGTCGGCAAAAGTGAAACAAATAAGCAATAAGATAATAAATATCAACGAAAGTATCGCGCATATTATCGGTGAGATAATGTCAGTGGTAAATTTACTTTGCTCTTCAGCGACATCAAGAGCCCAGTCTAGTGAAACAGACCATGTAAGACATTGCATGGTGGTTTTAACTACAATTTGACGTATTGCATATAGTGCATAAAATTTCATCTCAGCTATCAGTAAAGAGAAAGATTTTATTATTGTAAAAAAACGGGCGTGACTACAATTCTACTTCGAACTACTTCCACAAAATATTCAGTACGGGTTCAATCAGCACATTAGCAATTAGCGCATTTTCTTGTAGCTTTATAAATTTCCCCAAAACCTATCCCACAATGAGTCATGGTGATAACTTTCGTTTAATATTGCATAATACCCAATACTAACATTAGAACAAATAAAACAAATATGCCACTGACACGTTTTGTGGTATCGTCATCTCACCCACAGTGCTGATAATGGCACAAGAATGAGTCACAATTTGTTCAAAATGATTGCTAATTACGATTCTGATAACGTTTCGCAAATCTTGAGGAGAATGTGAGATGATTGTTGGCAAATCCACACGTTCAATTAATCTATTTCGCATTATACACCATTTAAAAATATTAATATTTCATATGGGTATTTGAACATATATAATATATTATTTCGAAGTGACATTTGCAGAAAAATTGAATAAAGTTGATGACTAGCACAAACAGTTGCAGAATGTTGCCCTAATATGTAAACGAAATTAGCTTGTTTGTAGATTGTAGTAATCGTGCAATATCAGCGGCATTAATCACCAATTCTTTCATAATGACGTAATACATTTTCGCCCCTGTCCTTATTTTTATCAAAGAATTTACAGAGGAAGCGACATATCCAATTTCCCTTTGTTTCCCATTGTGATTTAACATGTCGGTGATTCGTCTTATTCGCGCGGAGCTTGTACGCTTCCATGTACCCCGAGATCCGGTTTCGGGCTCGGCCTCGTATCTGATTACACTAGAAGATCGGTACTCTTTTCAGGCTCGTGTTTTGGCGGAAATTTATCCCGACCGCTTAACCGCCGCAGCATGTAGGTCGCCCAAAACAATTACTTTGTCTAACAATAAACACAATTATGAAAAATTGATTTCAAAACATGTCTTGCATAGCAGCGGGTGGCACCGTAAGTGTGCCTTTAATGTTCGCTCTCGTTCCACGAGACGTTTGTCTCGTGTCACAAAAAGAAATATTTTTGACATTTATTATACATAATTAGAATATTGTCCGATTAAAAAGGGTACGGGCGAAAATACACATAACAAAATATTTTATGTAATTTGATACCACCTAATAACATATATGTATTCTGCCTGGCCCAATTTAAATCTATCGTACTCAATGCCACTTTACCTATGGGGCACATTTAAAAATACTGTATCCTACGATGAATTATGTTTCCGGCGATTAAGTCACACGGAAGTATGCCCGGTATTCCCTGTTTTCGTTCCATTTACATGTTATTGTCTGGCTAAAAGTAACATGGCGTTTGGAAAGATCAAAGTAATTTTAAAACAATGGAATCAAAGTGGTTCTGGTGACTTTTTAATGAGAGTTGAAAGGTAATGCCATCATTTTAACGCAAATCTTTCCACAAATCTTAAAAGCAGCGAAACGTTATACACCAAAGTTCATAACAGAAACTGGCTTTGGCTCTAATCTCTCTAGTTTTGCTGCAAAGAAATCCTGTTATGATTTTGACCATGACTAACTCCCAATATATCCGCTTTGATAATCTTTCACACAGCTTCATCTCAGAGTCAGCTGTATATCCGAGAGTGAAATATTTAACAAATCAACAATAAAATCGTAATATTTGACCTCTACCATCTCCTATTAAAACGTAGCATTCTTTTGTATTCATTTCACAATAACCTGCCTTCGTATTCGAACCTCCGTGCGTACATCACGTAAAAACTGTAACGACCTAATAGCTGTAGAAGAACTCGTGCTTCATGTCAAAGTGAAGTGTAAGAATTAACAAGCTTTCGTGGAATGAAGGATATGTTCGCATTCATCAAAGTCAATTCAATATTTACACCTGTACGTGAATGACAAGAGAATATTGTATATTTATTTATCACTCCTGGGCCATGTTTAATGGCTAGATTTACTCTTAGACCATGTATGATTTGTATGGTAATTTTTGCAATATGCTCCATCCGTTAATGGAACTTATGTACAGTTCAAAGTTCACTAAATTCCATATTTTCCCAACTGTTTTGCAGCCAGACGAGCGGTTTTGAGTGGAGGCGCGCTAGGAGGGTCCCTTGGTCTGATGAAACTATTTAAACACAAGAGGCGAGCAAATTGGAATAATAACTTCATAAAAATGTTTGGCCACTTGCTGAGTGTTGCTGTCGCGGGCTGCTCTGCGTGGTCGAGAATAGTCAATAGATAAATGCCTCCTGTAGAGATTTGAGCTATTTGCGGAATCACCAAATTTCTCACTAACCACACGCCATAGAAATTCTA